ACAATCAAGTATTAAGTAAGTGTTCATTAATCACTTTTCGTAAACGTGACGAGTTTCAAATCACTAATTCAGCGAATCCATAATCCTTTCACCTCGTATTCCCACACCTACTGTGGTTTTCACTTTGGCCCGTTTTTTCTAGATTCGTTTTCTTATTCGACCTTATCAAAGACACCGCCGCGCACTCTCTCCGAGACAGTCAGCAAACAACTTTTGTCTGTTTATCGCTCAAATTTTCATGTCGCACGGGACGCAACACTGTTTGCGTTAAGTTTATTTACCTTCTGAGAGCAAAAACTTTCCACTCGAAAACTGGAATCTATTTTATTCTTATATAGACTGCCACTTGAACACTGTGGTTCTAATTTGAAATTGTGGTGACAACACAAGGTTGTAGTCTGTGTTGTCATTTCAAAGGACTACTTAACTGATGAATAGCTTCACCAAAAACGTTTTCTTTGAACAATAGTAGAAATCAATAAGCTAACATTTAAATTTTTTCCAACACCCTGAACATTTCACTTTCCAACTCTTAGTAGTCTTTCATCAGGGAGACTTAAATGTAGACTCTAGAGAATTTTCAACAGACAGTTTTTAACGTGCAATGCAAGGCTTTCTGTTTAACGCACTTTAGTGACAAATTGCATCTGTCATCAATTTTGTTGTGCTCGCAAAAACTTATAGTCCCTTAATGTCCGCCATGAAACTGGGATAACTCCTAAAAGAGCCGTGACGAGGTGATCCTCTCACTTACTGCGGTTTTTCTAATGTGGAATGCCGTTCATAAGGCTCAGGCTCGACCCCATATTGGGCCAACCAAATCTCAAATCTCTCTCCGGTTATGAAATTCTTGCCGCAACCTTACTACTCTAGGAAGTACGCAAAGAGTTGGCAAGTGTCTGGAGTCTGGGAAAGCTGTGTTAAAGCTATCCCACGATTACAGAGAAAATCTACTCCAACAGCACTCAACGACATTTGTGAAGAAGACAAAGTCCTTAGCTGGTAGCCAATGCTAAACTTAATTCCGAAACTCTCCATGATGACGGATACGAGGAAACTATTAACATGAGAGAACTGCTCGCGAAAATGGATTGTGTGGTACCACGTCAAGTGGAAAAGAAAAATGATAATTGAGTGCTCGAAATCCACTTTTTTCTGATGACCAGATACAATATTAGAATATTTATTCAATACACCTGACGCTCCAGCGGTTTCGCATTCTTCTTCGTCTGCAAAGGCCAAATTGACATGCAATCTACTCACTCAAAAACTTTCATAGCCTTAGGAGATAAAACTTGCCGCATAAAATTTCATTGGCAAGGCAAAAAGCTTTTTAACCACTCACCGTTTCTGGAACCGTGAGTACCCTTACCAATTGTTTACATGCTCTCCACCAACCGAAGCCTTTGATTCTTCTTTCTCTCAACCACGTTTCTATTCTGGCGGTGCAGTAACTGCAACTACCTTCTCAGCTTAACTGGGTTCAATTCCGATTTGTGCTTCACAGATCATTTCAGTTGACAGGTAATTTTTGGTAACATTGATAGACTTAAAACATGGCTGACAGAAATCCCCAGGTAGAGCAACGATTGGTGTGGTGGATATGTGAATACTACACAAGGAACATTGCCCCTATACTCGATAGGGGCAATTGCAGGTTCGAAGCACAGCTGACGCCCCGAGTTCTAATATCTCAGCACTGTTGCGGTTGCATTTGACGTGGTAACCTCCCATGAAAAATAAGTAGGCACTAAAAAAAGTTCAGACTCACCGTTTTGTTTTTTATAAGTCTTAGTGTTATTGATAGGGACCAGGCGTAAAGAGTCTGTGAGGAATTTGCGGGGCTTAGGTGAAAAAATCGGTCTGAGGAATGATACAAGGTGCTTCTTGTCGTTCATTTTTGGATTTTACAACTTATCCAAAACGCCTCAGGAGTTTTATGGGCTGTTGCTTTCTAGATTTGTGTGTGAGGATAGCGGCCTGAGCCTAGGTTATTTTTATTTGCAATGAAGTTCATCGTTTCGTCAGGAACCAACTCTCAAAAGGGAGCTGTCAATGAAAAGCACTTGTACAATCTTTTCTTGGAAACCCTCTCAACATATAGTCATACCAAATCAGAAAATGAAAGCGAAAAGTCACATGGAAGACCCGACAAACCACTTGTGAACCTTGCTTACAGTTCGGAGAATTTTTCGGAATTTTAGTCATGACGGTTTTTTTCATTCATTTGGTTCTCTAAGCTATAACTTTAGACTTTAACTCTCTGCATCATTTGCTATAACTTTGCTCTGCACTGTATAACCAGAAAGGAAAATGTTTTTTTTGTGTTCAGCATCGTTTCCAACAACATCTTAATCTGTGCCTGTTTAGAGAAAGCTTCGGAGTTCTGGTGGCTAGAGGAATATAGATGCCACACTGTTCTTGAATGCGGCTACGTCAAGCATTGCTTTCGTTCCGACTTTGTCAAACGTTTTTTCAAAAGCGAATCTATGAAGAATAAAAATATGAGGCATAGTTGTTTATTGCAATGTGTGTTGTGAAAAGTCGCGTAGTGCTCTCGAATGGAGAGTGTAACAACACCTTGTTGTTGTTTTGTTTTGTTGCCGGTCTCTCTAAAGGGCGGAGAAATGAAATACGCATAGGGCGGTTCCAATAATAATTTGAGGGCGCGTTTCCAATTTCTAAATGACTTGCATCGGAGCTAACGCCTTCTGAATTTCTTGATTTTCACTCAAACCTTGGCACATTGTTGAGATGAAAATTGATTTTTTTCAGAATAAGGTTGGGTCCATTGTCTAATAATCTCGATGTACACCTTGTATCGAGTCGTAACTTATCGCAGTCCAGCCACGCCCAAACATTTATGTGGCACAAGACTTTCTTTATAACGAAATTATGCGGTCATTTCTTATGCTATCCTCCAATTCAATGGTTTTCTTTTAATGGAAATACAACATAAAGCTCTTATTTCTTCATGCTGTAAGTCTTATTTCTTCATGAACAAGTAGATGCTACCAATGATGTTTAGAGTTATTAAAAAGTAGGGTAGTAATGTCAGTTTCCTATGAACTTCATTTCACATTATATTTCGGCACTTTTCTGCCCATGATATCGAAAACACGCAGCATACTTGGCTTTCTTAGCGCAATATAAGTCGAACACTGTGACTTTTACAAATCACTTGACAACCATGTGACTTCATTATTTTTATTAAAAGTCGGAATTGTACCAAATTCTTCCAAATGACCCTAAAATCGCTTCTACTAATCAATGGTCACCTTAACGTACATTGGACGGTGAACATTGCATGCATGGCATCTTTCGATCATTGGAGCACAGTGGGCAGCACGAATTGAACTGCGTGAACCCCATATGTGTGGTGGCGCGTGTGGCGCAGTGGTCGGAGGCACTGCGCAACGCACATGTGGAGTCGATCCCAGCTCCCATGGCCCACCAAGCCTCTTCCCTCCGGAAATCGGTACTAGACTTGTTTGGGAGGAGAGCAGCACTGGCTCAATACATCGGTAGTCCACTGCGAGCCCTTGTAAAGGGCAGATATGCATTGAATCACCTCCAAACGATGTTTAATGAAGTCGAGTGCATGGCCCATCCCTCAAAGATTGATCAACGCTGAAAGCTTTATCCTTTATCCTTTTATGTGTTGAGACAATTTGGTCATTATTAAAAATTGCCGATTTACCAAAATTACGCAGGGAAACTTTCCACTGATGAGTCGAGCGATTAGTTCTAAGAGCTAGCGAAGAGGAGAGAGTGGATGAGAGCAAATCATACTGTTCGTGCAAGCGTGTCTATCGTAATTAGCATCGTTAACATGCGAATTTTCTGGTTTTGGCGGTTTGTGCTCTGATCTTTCGCCTCACCAGTATAACTGTTGACAATAGTTTGTCTAGGTTTTCGATAAAGGTGCTTTATTCCTGCGTTAAATCATGCGTTTTTTTAACCTCTACCTTCATAAAGGAGTCCCGTAATCTGCGTGTTCAAATTCTTCGACCTAAATTTTAAGAGTTTTTATTCTTAGAAACTGGGAAACTGGCGCAGTCGTATTCGATCGCTAACGCTTATCGAGCCTTTCTTTGCAATGCCAGTGGAAACTTTCTGACGTCTTAAGCATTTCTTAATGTTTACATAAATGCGCACATGCATCGATAACAACAACAGATCGGAAAATAAGTGAAATTCTAGGCTTTCGCACTCTTTTAGTTCTCTGTAACGTACTTGATTTTTCGCTTCTATTATCACGGAACAAGTCCTTACCATAATCTACTTAAGAGACTTATTGAACAAAATGCTATCTCCGGCTGAGGTGAAGAAACGCGTTAAAGCCTCACTTGAATCTGTTGCGATTGGTAAATCTCCGAAAGAAATTCAGAATGGAAAAGATTTTTACAAATAGTAAGTGTTTGTTATCTAGTTTAAATAAATGTGAACTAAAAATAGCTCTTACCAAATCTTTTCTACATATTCATTTTTTTCACAGAGGAACGGGTAACACTGTAGTAAAGAAGCGACGTGCAGGGCGCTGTTTCGAACACGTTCCGTGTCCTAACAAGCTTTCTTTCCCTCAGAAGTCGGAAATTGGTCCCAAACTTGTCTCTGAAGCATTTCTTCTCATCCACAAAGGCTGGCGACCGCCTGTATTGAAGACCTGTGAACGCCGAAGTGCTTTGAACCTTTGTTATAATTATCGAAAACCCTGATTCCGCGGAAAACCAACTCGACCATCACTCAACGGCATTTATAAGGAAGACCAAAAATCCTCACGCGACAGCCGATCCATGTGCAAAGCCGAAGAGATTCATGGATTATGAATGGCAAAGGATGTCCCCATTGAAAGAAGTTCTGAGATCTGAAAGAGGTGACGCGTTAAGTCGTGCAGAAAAAGATGTTCCAGCGGATAAATGTTAAAAATACCGAGAACTGAGTCTTGCATTTGCAAATATTTTTATTCGGCATTTATCTCTTTTCTTTTTCTTTACAGCATGTTCACTCATCACCCTGATCTTCGTCGCTATTTTAAGGGAGCCGAATCATTTACGGCCGAAGACGTTCAAAAAAGCGAGAGGTGAGATTTTCATCACCAGATTCATCCAGGAATGGAATCTACTGCTTACATCAGGGTTTGAGGTACTTGGGCTCCTTAATGTCACAGTTTTCACTAGAAAGACTCATCCCAAATCAAATTTTTTTTGAAATAAAGATGACCGGTGAAAGTTATACCGAGTCCACACCGCTTCTAATGCTTCAATGCTGTCTAAGGTGTCGGTGGCACTTTTAACATTAGGTGAAAACTAATGCAACGCTAATCTAGCTAGGACTGCAGTTTTTTCAAAAAATCCTAAAAAACGACTTTCTTATGTTTAGGTTTGAGAAACAAGGTCAAAGAATATTGCTCGCTGTTTATCTACTCGCCAACACTTTTGATGATGTAAGTTTATCTTAAGAGGTCCTCATAAAAAAAANAAAAAAAAGCAGGAACAGTGAACATTCAAAAGAATTTACTGAAATGACTGCTCAAATGCAAATATGTCAAGATAAACCTATGCTAGTTTTCAAATTGGGAACGCGTAAGGCTCAAAAATGGGGTCCCACTCGAGAGTTGAGCTGTCTCAGCTCTCCTCTAGTTTACTGGTCAAGTGATACGAGTGACAGCCAGTTGTCTTCTTTTGTCTGTCCGACGAGCCACACTTACCCATCGATTCCAATTTATTGAGATAAATTACTGCATATTTCTTTTAAAGTTTTTGTTAAGAAGTCCCACCTTACTGTCGGCTGTGTTCGTGCTTGCAGAATCCCCTGTGAGATCCAGTCGAGAACAGCTAATGTCCACCAATTTTTCTCCGTATGGTCGGTCTTATGGTCCTCATTCAGACTTCCGTTTATCTCCCATAGACAGATATATATTAGAAGTCATATAGGTTAAATGCAGATCGCCACCTTAGCCTTTCGAAATTTTCGTTGGCTAGAGTCACCTTCGCATTTTAGTGGGCTTTTTGTATTGGTCCTTCTCAACGTTACCAGCGTTGTTTATGACTAGGAGATTTCTAAAGTAAAGGACGATGGTGGGAAAAACGCCGAACCGCCTCTGTTAAATGCACTTTAGATGAAGCAGGGGCAAAAAGTTAATTAGGAAAATCCCTGCGTTTCAGCTTTAGCATATGCTCGCCTATAACTCTCATCTGGATCTCTGCCCACCTCCTAGGAATGGACTATATAGTTGTGCTATTAACTCATTTGAGATCCTTAACCTATAAGATATCTATGCATTTTATTCATTTTAGTCATCAGGTAAAATTTCAAAAAATAACGCAAAATAAGAAAGCAAAAAACGAAGAACAAAAGAATAAAGTTCGGAGAAAGATGTGACTTTTTCTTATCGAACTATTCTAGGAAGAAACATTCCGCGCGTATGCACGTGAAACTGTGAACAGACACCGCGTCTATAAGATGGATCCGGCACTGTGGGGGGTAAGTTTTCAAATAATCTGAATGCTTTGTTTTCTTGTCAAAGCAAGCGCTTTCTTCATCCTGAGACAAAGAAAATCTTAATAAACATAAACTAAGGTGGAACAATTTGAGCAGTAACCCGTGGTATTCAAATTCATAATTTCAAAAAAAAAACGTAGGAACGAGGGAAGGATTTTAAAGGGAAAGAAGCACCAGTTCGATTAAATCTCTCTAACCTCCAATATTGATTGGCTGAGAAACTAATTACCTTTTTACTTTACAACGATACGGTTGCGCATAGATTTTTAGGTTAAGAATTTTTTTCCAATTGATATCAAGCAATGAGGCACGGAAGCGCAGTAGTGGAGGTGTAATTCGAAACGCGCAAGGCCCTGCTTCAGTCAGGTCGAACTCCGACTCCTCGGCAGTTGTTAAAATGTTGGCAGACCTGTATTAGATCAGCCCGTTTTCTCTAGTCCACGAAAATAGGCCTTTGATTGTGTTAAATATGCGCAGAATCCTGGCACGTCTATCCTAGGATTCCAGCGAGAGCTGTCTCAATCAGCATTCAGCGACATTCATGAGGAAGAATAAATTCGTCAAGAAATGGCCAAAACCACGCGCATATCAGAATTTCTTCGTGGACGACGGATGCGTGGCAACGAATTGAATGGAAGAAGCGATGAGAGCACGTCGGGTGATGCAGAAAAATGTTTGATAGCAGCCACGAGAATGTTGCGATACTTGGAACCGCGCATTGTGGGTAACTAAATGTTAAAATATTGTGGTGCTCAGCAATAATTAGTAGAGACACGCAAAAGAAAAAGAGGATTGAGTTAACATTGCGATTTCCACATGATCGGCATTTTCAATATTTTCAGGCCTTCTTCACAGTGTTTGTGAACTTTCTGGATTCTCGTGCTGCTTTAACCGACGAACAGAAAGCCGCATGGAAGGAGCTCGCCAAAGTGTTCGACGAAGAATGTCAGAGCCATTTGAAAGACCTCGGCCTACCTCATGTTTAATGCGAATATTATGTATGTTAGAACAGTTGAAAATGAGTTATGCTCGTCATTCATGGTGATTTACAACAGATTCATCTTGCTCCTATTTGTAGATTCACAGCACTAAACGCTTTGCATAGTCGAGTCTCTGCGTTGTTGGAGTTTTAGATACATACTGGAGCTGAAATAGGAAACTGAGTGCAGTGTCGTAGCCATTCATGTACAGATGGAACGCAGTTTACAATACAACTATGAGAATTGTTGACAAAAACTGGGAGCAGACATTAAATATCTCAACTGCATTGGAACTGCTTGAACCAGAATGCCACTTATTTTTAGGAGAAGGTAATAGTAGCAATTTTTCATCAAGGAAAAGACAAGAGCTAAAATTCTAAAATTAGGATAATTTACAAAGTAGTTGTAGAAAGGTTATTGCGATGATCTGATTAGACGATTATTTTCGGCCTGGTTTCATACCACTATAACACTCAAACACCGTGTTTCAATTCGTTGCTTCGACTTCTTAGAATAACTTGACCTCAGTGGAAACTAGATGCGACATTTAAACATCAAACGAATAGCTTTACTGGTAGCTGACCTAAGCAGAGAACAGATTTCAAAGCGTGAGATTAAATTGCTGCAATTCTCCTCCCTTGGATCTTTACGAAGTGGCAAATTTCTGTCACAGATGCTGCGATTTCTGGCCCACTTGTGCTAGAAACTTTACTGATTTAAATTTAGTCAGATAAGTGGTATCCAATGACATTAAGTGACAAATGAAAAAACTTTAGGAATAATGAAATAAAACTAAGCGGAATTAAGATGTTGTCAGTGGATGAAATTAAGCAGAACACTGGACTATAATGATTGCCTATTACACGAGAAAACGTTCCGCGCATTCACACGTGAAACAATAAACAAACACCGTACCTTCAAAATGGAACCGGAAATCTGGGCTGT